AATCTTCTTTTCCACTGGTAATTTGTACTATTTAGAGTATCTGTAATTATAAAATTGGATATACGAGAGATAATATACAACCTTTTAGAAGAGTTCGGCTTTCTTTCTCATGCCAAGCTCACAATGCCTTTGAGATTCATGTAAGTAGTCTGTATGTGAAGCACTAATAGTTCAGATCCTTTTACGATATTATCGTAAGTGAATTCCTCATTGTGTGGCCCTCACTACAGGACAGTTCCTCAAACAGTTATCCCAGTCACGCCTGTCAGGAGCACCAATAATTACATAGAAACTTATTTCATACGTCTTATTAAAGGCAACAAATTATCCAAACTAAGCTGCATAGTAAACTTATTTGGATAGATGAATAGGAGTTTAATGTACAATGGCTCAAGAGAGAATCAAAGCAACAACATTCACCAAGAATGAACAGGTAATCTCCTTACTATCAGTTCTCTCAATTAAATGGTGAATGGCTTAACTCTCCACTCAAAGAGGCATACGCTGCCGAATGATAAGAGATCGGCCAAGTATATGCTGGTTCAGGAAACAGCATCTAACCTGCAAGGATGCATGAATAAAAGTAAAAGGGTGGATCAGTCTTCAGGCAAGTGGAGCCAGACAGCTGGTGTGCAGTTTTAATTTTCGACAATTAGATTAACCAACAAATAGTGAAAGACAAAGAGGGTCATCATATAATGGGTGAAGGCCGCACTGTCACAAGAAGAGATAACAATTTAAGTATATGATGCACCACCTTAGGTGCACCCGGTTTATAAAGCAACGTTTACTGATCTAGCACATGGATTATGAACTCAGTAAATCACCGGAGTTTCAAACATCGCCACTGACGGACAACAGATCTGCCACGACAGAAAATTTAATAAAGAATTAATAAACTTAACAAACCCTGGAACATTGGGTCTGAGCGTGACATCTATAACATTCTATCCAATCCACTGATATAGTTCTTCTCAGTCAGCTTCCGGACATCTTAAGATGACATATCCGTAGGACAAAATAATCTCAAAATTAAAAATAGAAATCAGTACCATGTACCTTCTCAGATCACAGTGGAATAAAGTGAAATCAACCTAACGAAACTCCATTTGCTCACAGAAACGTGATTACACCTCCTATAAATGTCTTATAAATGAGTAAGTCAGGATGGATATGAAAAAGAATTTTGCTTTGACAAAAGACAATTTTAGTCTATCAAATGCCTCTGGACTCTTTTATTTTGGGAGGTTATTGTTAGGTTTATAATGCTATTTGAAAATTCGACTCATAAGAGCTGGAATAAGACAGCAGAACCCACCGCAGAGAAGATAATTCAACAAAATCACAAACGATTGAAAACAGTAGCTCGGAGATAAAAAACAAAGTTTTTGAAAAAAATTTTGGTAAGCTATCAAAGCGAATAGAAACTATAAAGTCCTAAGATAAAAGGAGATGTCATCATCTAGTATCAGATATATCATGAATATACAACTTTTGCAGCACAAAGTGGAAACTGTGGCAGGAAATGGATCAATATGATATATCATCGCCATGCTATTCAGAAGAAATAGTCCTAATTCAACAGGCGATAAAACAGCTTAAATATCCTAAAAGAAATCTCTTTTCCGAATTCCACACTTACAAGAGATTATATATTCCTTCTGTATTAATCCTCCGTGACTGCTGATTTTGCTTTTTTTATGAAGAGGCTGATAGCTCTGGGAATAATACGCTCTCCTGGATAGCTCCATTATATACAGGATGGTATAGTATGATCATATTCCAAAAATGAAAAGCTACTACCTTAAATATTTAATTCCCTAAGATGAACAATGTCATAGAGTGTAATTTAATTTCGACTATAGTTGAATTCTTAGTAATCTATCCATTGATCCAGTTGTTTTTCTACACAGAAAGTGACTGGAAAAATAATCCAGTTACATCCATTGTCTGGTTTCTTTCTCGCGGATGCAGGGATTCGTGCGTTTATAACACATTACATAAATCTATAATGCATCACCACATAAGGCTAAGATAGCTGTCACAACATATATATTTTTGCACTTATTAATTGCCATTTTCAATCTAATATGCATGGAATGAAGTTTTGACAAAATCAAACATCTTTGGTAATTTCGATTTGTGGAGTATACTTAAGAAAATAGGTCATCAGAAGAGAAGACTGCTAATTACTAAATTGAATACTGTTAATTATCAATAGCCAATACTATTTGAAACAGAATTTCATTATAGCACACTTATCCATAACGTTGATACAATTGGGAATAGAATGATAATCGGTTCCTTTAGTAATACTGTTGCGACAAGATTCAGACTAGCAGGTCGCCACTATATACCTCTCTAGTCATGTTTGGACAACATTAGTGCTGATTACACTCAAAAAGAAAACCCCAGTCTTACTCGAGTTTGCACCGTTCACCCATCTTGTCACCACTTCCTCCAGAGACACTTATCAAGGATAATAGGTGACTATCATAATGGGCTGACGTGTTCTATAGCTTTCTCTGTTAGTGTTTGCCTGTTATGGCCAATTTCACAATGAAATCATATAGTATATGGTCTTTGTTACAGCTTCTTTTACCTTAGTAATGTTTTTCAGGTTCATCCAAGTTGGTAGCATTATATCAATACTTTATCTTTTTTATGCAAGAATAGTATTTCTATTGTGTGGACAACCATATTTTATTTTTGTTGGATATTTTGGATGTGTTATCCAATACTTTCGGTATGCTATGATTCTAGATAACCCAACTTATCAACCTAGTAACGTCCAGATGTTATACTTGATACAATATTTGATTGTAACTCATTGTTTTGTATCTCGGATAAAAATCAAATATGCAACAGCAAATCTCGCAATTATTATATCATATCATAACGCAACAACAATCTATTTGAGACAAATCAAAGATCAATTCCTTCACATAGGATCTCTATTTGGGAAAAGAAATTATAACGCAGAAGCCTAGGTAATTGCTATGAACAAATAGAACATAGAATCATAACTTCTGTATCAGGGGATATATTAGTCGCATGATGAGTTGACGTGCCAGAGAAACTAGTCATTGGTGCTAGATAAGTGTTGGCTACAGAATGGATTCACCCACTTGAGTCAATGCTCGGTGATCTGCAAGAGGTTCCATCGTGATTTTCATCATCACTCGCTCTTTCATAGAACTTCTCTGTACTTATCTAAGTTATCATTAGTACTCATCTTTTTTAAATAGCCATCCTAATTGAGTTTAAGATACTTATTAAAATGTCGCTCAGCATTCTATTCCTCTGATTAGAAATAAATTTACGATGATTGTTTATGCGAACAATAGTTATACGCACCCGATAGAATTGAGCTCAATAGCCTCATTTATACGTATTTTTGCATCTCAGAGAAATGGTGGTAGTGCTTCACTCCGATTGTCCATGGCGCCTATGTCAAGTGACGTTGTGGATCGTATAAACTGATAGTACCATCATACTGCAACTCTCTTATATCTCTGGGCTCAAGCATAGGTTCTGCCTGCTTACAGCCTCTCTAGAGTGACTAGGGCAGTGTGAGACGATGTGTGCATATCCCTAGAACTGTAATTTTCCTGTATTCTTCATTAGCCTGTTCTAATAGATACTTGTTGAGCGTACTAGCAGATCAGTAAAATAGTATCCTCGCTAGGGCGTGGAAAAGAGGATCTTCTCCTTATTTTTTTCTATATATTTAAGACAAGTCATCTCTCTGTCTTCTCGTGTGCTGTTGCCGAATGGGATAGAGAGTGCCATGGCATTTGAGCTATAGCTCACGCGAGCCTCTAAAGCTCTGGTCAGAAACCTTCGTGCTCACAAGCTCCTTCGTCAGCTACATCTGGACTAACAAGGTCATGTGCCACCTCATGCCCCGCCTGTAATTGATTTTATAACCACGCACACTAACACACAAACACAACTAACGGTCATGACTACTATTAAGATAATTCTATATAGTATTAGTAACAAATATAAAGTTGTTGTATATTTTACGTAGACTGTACTCCGTAGAGCATCGCCTAGGCAAAGAGGTTATGGAAGAAGTCCCAAAGGCATCAAAGCAGCAACAAAATAAAAATGAGATGATCAAACTGGTCTCGCTCACGACTTGCTACGCACTGGCTGCAAGCGGGTATTCGAAACTATATCATTGAACTTGTGAGTGATCTCCCCGACTTCGCACTATACCAAGCCTACAGTAGCTAGTGGGAGTGATACAGGGATTTGAGCTATCGCATGCTCTCACTAGCATCCCTGGCCTCGCTCAGGCTAGTCATTGAACTGGGCATCTATATATCTCACATCAGCTTCACCTCAACCTCTTCAATACTAGTGTAGATCGGACGAATCAGAGAGAAAAGTAACATTACAGGCATGAGTTACATATTACCTCACTCTAATCAAGATGTGAGAATCAAAGAGCAGATATCACTACATTATCTTCTCTAACAATTTTATTGTCTCTTTTATATAGCGAGAAGACAGGTATTAGGTATTTGGGTGCATAAGGTACTAAGATTTTAACATCACAGGAAGGCTTCTGAAATTCTAGTTCCATTAATTCCATGCAGTGACAAACTTTAGAGGTCACATTTGTTAAAAATAAATTACATTTTTTTTAAAAAAAAAAAAAGGAATTCCAAAATTTCTGGTAATTCAAGTGCAGCTTTGGAAATATCATAAATATTACTTAAATATAATGAATAAGCCTTTAAATTTTTTCCAGAATCCTATTTCTGACATCTATCTTCTTAAGAGACCAGAAGGTGTAGTTATTTTAAAAGTAGAACATATTCAGAACTATGTATATTAGATTACAAGATTATATGAGTAAATTTTTTTGTTATTCGTACTTTATTTTGAGGCTATTAATCGTAGACATCTGAAAATAGTTTGCCTTCTTTTCAACCATTGGAATTCTGCACAGAGAATGAACAAGCCATAGAGGGCACTATTGTACTTACGATCAGATGTAGGTAGACCAGGGAGGAGGAAATTCAAGAAATAAACTCAGCAGGATCACACTTTGCTTACCAGACTAGGAAAAAAAAAAAAAATTTCTCACCATTTGATATTTAAAATGCTAGGTTTTCCCCCGTACAATATATTGTAGAAAAATCAGAATAAGTTATTACTCATATAGGGATTTTCTTAAAATAGGATCATGAAATCATTAATAAAATTATTGCTTTTTGTCATAAGAAAACAAAATCTACTTTATTAGCAGTTTTAAATAATGCGTTATTATTAACAATAGTCACCATGTTGTACAATAGATCTGTTGAATTTATTCCTCTTATCTTATCCTTTGACCAATATATTCCAATTCACCCTCTCTCCCTCCAGCCCCTGGTAACCACCATTCTACTCTCAGTTTCTGTGAGTTCCCTTTTAAGGTAAAAATTGATAAGTATGTGAGGTAATGCATATGTAATTAGGGCTTCATTTAGCCATTTCTAAATGTATACATACTTCAAAACCTCATGCTGTACACAATAAATATATGCAATTTTATTTGTAAATTAAAAATAATAAAAACTATGAAAAATTAAGTTATTAGTAAAATCAGAAAATGGGGTTTATAATGAGTTAGGTGGTATATGTTTTTAAGGTCTGGGAAAGACATGTATTGACTTCAAGAGGTCAAATTTAGAAAGAAGAAAAATTATTTAGATGTGATTGATTCAGGATTCCCACAATAAGATAAATCCCTTTTTATCAACTTCCAGAAAGAGTCAATTTGTTCAAAACGCTCATTTTTTTTGATGCAAGTGTTTGAAATCTATTTGATTCCTTTGAATGCAATGAATGGTCTTAATTCTGTCCTTTCTCCTTAAGTCAAAATCCTACCAAACCATTAATATTCAACACAAATTCCCATTCTCTCCCAAGTCTTTTGGCACCTGTGACCTACAAATTCTCTCTTGCTTCACTGAAATCAATCATTTTTCATTTCTCTCACAGACTGTGTTCCATCATCTACTACAGTTATTTGTGAGGATATAACACCCTCTTTCTAGACTCCTGAGAGCCCTGCTCGTGCAGGCTGAAGCCCCAGAATGAAGATCAGAATTTTTTCCTTTATCTCCAGTCTACATAAAATCTCTTTCCAACCTTATTAAAATTTGGTATATGTTTACAATGGAATATTACTTAATTCTAAGAAACGACATCGAGCTAGCACCGCTTATGTTATCCTGGATTGAGCTTAAGCCCATTATCCAAAGTGAGGTGACACAAGATCAGAATAATGGGTTCCATATATACTCGCCATCAAATTGGTACTGACTGATTAACACTATGGTGCTCAAAGGTTGGTGGTGTTCACCAGGGATTCAGGGATTGGAGGGGTAGTCCCACAGCTGAGGGATGTGGTGAGCATTGTAGAAAGGAAGGGCATACCTCTAACCCTTGCTAGGGGGAGGCAAAGTTATAAAATGTAACCAAAATGTTAAGAAAAAAAGAAAAAACAAACAATTGTCTGGTGTGGGGTAGGTGGGAAGGGGGAGGAGGGGATAGGTGTATACATACATAATGAGTGTGATGCACACTGTCTGGGGGATGGACATGCTTGAAGCTCTGCCTCGAGGGGGGAGGGAAGACAAGGGCAATGTATGTAACCTTAACGTTTGTAGCCCCATAATATTCTGAAATAAAAAAAAAATCTCTTCCCAACCAAAGGCCCAGGCAAGGCACACACTTGGTAAAGTGGAACAGGAACAGAATTAATACATATTCTATATTCTGCACCCATTACTTTTCATCTGTGATCACATCTAATGACCTCTATTAAAATTAACAATTAGGACAGGTGTAAACCAGAACTGTCCTGGACATCCAAGATACATGGTCATCCCATGTTAATGTAAAACTATAAATCTTAAACATAGCCTTATTAGCTTTTGCAAGTGGTATCTCAGAAGCCTAGGAAGAGGAAGGTTTAGGAGTCAGACAGAAATGAGTTTTAACCTCACTTCTACTATTCATGGCATGCGTAATTTTTAAACTTTATTAGAGCAGTTATCTCATCTCCAAAATGTGGACTATGCCATCCTCCCAAAGATGACCTCCAAAGTCATTGTGAAGATTAAATTCATTCCTGTATGTGAGAGCAACTAGTAAATAGTAGGTGTGTAGTAAAAGTGTCCTTTCCTGTTACTTCTTTGTATGCCACAATTTCTATCCTCAATTAAAAAGATTTTTCTTTTACATTTTACCTGTCTTCATAGATTTTAGGAAATAGCACAGTACCTGATTGAGACACTAAAAATGTATATAATTACTATGATTATGTGTATTCTACAGATTTTTTTTTATTTTATTTTTTATTTTTTTTTGAGACAGAGTCTCGCTTTGTTGCCCAGGCTAGAGTGAATGCCCCTGGTCAGCCTAGCTCACAGCAACCTCCAAACTCCTGGTGTCAAGCAATCCTGCTGCCTCAGCCTCCCAAGTAGCTGGACTACAGGCGTGCATCACCATGCCCGCTAATTTTTTCTATATATATTAGTTGGCCAATTAATTCTTTCTATTATAGTAGAGACGGGTCTCACTCTTGCTCAGGCTGTTCAAACTCCTGAGCCTAGCAATTCGCCCGCGCTCCGGCTCCCCAGATTTTTTTTAATTCCCAAAGTGAGACATTGTTTTTGCTCATGTCTGTTCTGGTTTTAATAGTTGAAACTGGGTTTGTCTGTTCTTTCTCTCTCTTTGCTCTCTAAGGAATATTTGTAGTTAAAAATATTGCCTCTCCACTGTGCACAATCTATAAAGGTGTCTATTACAAATATTTCTAGTGGAAATAAATGAGAAACAATTCTGACTGTTCAGGATGGAAATTATAATAATTAATGGTAATCCATACCGACGAATATTATATGGATTTTAAAAAGGAATTATTGCTGGCATGGTGCTCACGCTGTACATCCTAGCACTCATGGGGGAGGCCGAGGTGGCGATTGCTCCCGAGGTCAGGAGTTCGAAAAACAGCCTGAGCAAGAGCAAGAACCCTGTCTCTACCATAAATGAAAGAATTAATGGCCACCTAAAAATTATATAATAGAAAAAATAGCCGGGCAATGGTGGCGCATGCCTGTAGTTCCGATCCTACCTCGGGAGCCTGAGGCAGGAGGTATTCGCTTGAGCCCAGAAATGTTGAGGTTGCTGGAGCTAGGCTGACGCCACGCACTCACTCTAGCCTGGCCAACAAAGGTAAGCTCTGTCTCAAAAAATAAATAAATAAAAAGGAAATTTTTTTTTTATTTTTTTGTATTTTTTTTAATTTCGCATATATGGGGGACAGATTTTAAGGTTTCAATAAACTGCCCTTTTCCCCCTCCCGCCCACAATCTGAGTTCCAGCAATGACCATCCACCACGATTGGGAGTTTTAAAAATACATCATGTACATCACTCTGGTTAATATTTAGACATATGAGAGAGAAAACAAAATTGTAAGTTAAATATTTCCAGTAAGATATATCTTTGAAAACATAAAAGAAAGACAAAAGGAAATGAGTTCATTTTTTTTCTTCCTTTTATTTCATCATATTATGGGGTACAAAAATTGTTAGTGTGTTACAAAGTATTCCCCTGCCCGCCTCCCTGCTTCACCCTGAAAATGAGTTCATTTTAATGAAAGTAGGGGGAAAAACTATCTTATTTAGAGACCAGAGAGCAAATTCCAGGAATTATAGAGAGATAACTATTTTTAAATATTTTTATACTGTAAATAAAAAAATAAGCATGACCTATTTGTATCATTTTTAAAATTACATTAAGGAAAAGTCCACATGTAAAAATTATAATAATTTTAATACAAAATCTTATAAACAGCATTTTTTGATTTTTACATTTTCAAGTATTCTTATTTAAATTCATACATGTTGAATTGTATGATTACTGAAAATAATATGGCAACTTACATTCTCCTTTACCTATTCAAATGACACCATTTAAAGTTAAATTATGATTCTACCAAGATGTTATATATACCAATTAAATCTATGCAGCAATTTATTTTGTATTATTTGCAATGTCACAATTTTTTCCTGGATATTTCTAATCAAATATTTTATTTAAAATATTTAACACTTTATTATCCTTATGGAAATAAAGCCACTTTTTGCATAAGACAAAAAAATCGATGTCTCATTCAAAATAAGAAACTGCAAAAAATAGGTGATATCTATTTTTTTCTTCTTGGTTTTTTTCTCTTCTTTTTCAAACTATTTAATAACTGATCAGATTTTACAAAATATAATTATAATTTTGAGGTGATAGTCATGATAACATATTATATCAACGGCTACAATTACTAGTGGATCTCCAAAATCCAAAGTTTCAGACCAAATATTAGAACACAAAAACTTAAGCTCAAAACTACATTTAACATAAAATGATTTTGTAATCACCCAGAATAAAACCTGAATGAACTCAAAAAGACAAAATTATATTTGCAGTGAGCTTGACTTTCCTCGCCCCTCTCTTATCACGCAAATTCCCACAAGCCCATACTTCAAACATTAAAAGCAATATTCCAATTTGGAAACAAATGATGTAACTCCACTTTGTTTAACGTCTACTCAATCCCAAGGATTTGTTCAACCAGAATTTATCACAGCAATTAGCAAAGAGATTGAGACAATTTTGGGATTAGTTCCAATTTTGTTTGCCAGGCACTCGAATTTAAATCATGCTTACATTTCAGAGCTCAGAGCATGAACCTCCCAGTTCTCCAAAATCTGTATGGAGATAAGAAACTTCATTTTCCTAACATAAAGTGTTATCTCATAAAACATATACGTGACCAATTAAAATTTCCCATCCTCATATATCTGCACTCGCTGAATTCTCAAACCAAGTGATCGATACTTCTTACATGAACTTAGTTGGCCAAACAATTATTTTGTTAATTTTTAATTTTCATGACTAGTACTTGATTACAAAAAGAAATTAAAAAGATACTATAGTTGTCTTCCTCAATGGCCTCATTCTATCAGAGATGTTTTGCTTTGTACATAGGAAATCAACATTACATTGCCTT